GGTATTAGACTAATATGGACTTTATTTTAGAAAGTACAACATTCTCTAAAATGAACATCGAACTCATCACTTTGAGGTGACGAGTTTCTGAAGATATTATTTTTAAATTATTCTTGTGATATGGACCATTATTTTACTATCATTAAAATGACTCGTTACTTCGATAAGACGAGTTCGTTTAAAAAATATTTTTTAAAATTACAAAAATAAAATAAAATAATATAAATTAAAAAAAATTAAGTGAAACTCGTCACGTCGATGTGACAAGTTCCTTCCAATTCAAAAAAGTAGTTGTTGGTCAACGATTATATAGGCAACTATCATGGCCAATGGTAACTTGGAACTCGTCACCTTAAGGTGAGTAGTTCGATCAGATAAAATTTTAAAAGAAATAAAATTAAAAAAAAATAAAAAGTATTTAAATAATTGGAAAAATAAATATTTATAGAAAATTTATTTATATATCCTAAGTTCTTGACGATGTTGCGGAGTGATTGATTGATATTGTCGCAGGGCTCGTCGAGTACGTCGGGGTCGTAGGCTTTGATGGTCGTCGTCGTCTTACCGAAGAGGTGTACTTAACACACTCTGTGATCCACCTTCGAAATATAGTGATGTATTTACGACATTTGAAGTCATCATTGATGTAACTGCTTCGACTTGGCTTCTACTTTGTTGATCATATAGATATGGTCCCACTCACCTGCAACCGTATATTCTATCGAAGATACTTAAGTGTATTGCAATGCATCCCATGAACCTCCAACCCAATTCGGTCGAGTCTTGAGTAAAGTATGAAATAAATGATATAAATCGAAACTAGCCTGACATGCATAATAATACTCTTCAGCTGCAGATGCTGAAGTGGAAGAATATGATGATGTTTTCTTCTTTGACTTGGCGCATGTGGCTTGATGATGTTCCCATTATCCCCTCTCTTTCGGTGTCGTGAGATATGATTTCCAACTTGCTTCATAATTTCTGATATAGTGAGAATAGTTGAAATCTAGGTCCAGCGGTGTAATATAGATGTATATAGCATGTTTCACTGGCCAATTTTTGGTATGTTTCCCACGCTATATGGATCGCGTTCATATAAATCATATGCGTAAGAATCGGCTAATGCGATGTAAACTATCACATCACTCTATCAGCAACGTGCCACGCAATAATTGCATAATGCAATAACGACATCACAACACACTATAAGTATGACCCCTCAAAAAATCCCCTTGGCAATAACTAGTTGATCTCCTCGTCAACATACGGAAGCCAAGAGAACTGTAAATATTAAATATCAAAATGAGTATATATAAAGATAAAAAGATTCAAAAAATAAAAAATCATATGTCATACCATACATCAACCAGCGATGTCCATCCTCATCTGTATATCTCGTGCAGTGGCACCCGTCAACTTCGTCTCAGACATTTTATGACATCATCTAAAATTTTAAAAAATATTATAAATAAATAAAAAATAAATAAATTTATGAAATTAAAAAATCATAAAAAAATAATTACCTTGCAGCCAGAGGAAACTCGATATGGGCTATTGTAAGTGGCGTCATAAATGGGAATCGATCTCAAGCCCACGACTGTAGCAGTATCAGACAGCTGGTTACATCGGCTTTTCGACCCGACTGGACAATTGAAGCCTTGCAAAGCTCTCGGTACAGAAATACCAAATTCGCTGAGCCCCAATTGGTATTACGACACATAGCGAAATCTTCCAAATATCGCAAATACTGAGTGTGCACCAAATTACCAGATTTTATCCGGTAGTAATACCCTTCCGATTAGTTCGATAAGATATGCTCGAGACATGAAAATAACCTCCTCCTCGATAGACTCGTCCGTCACTTGAAATTCTGATTCCAACCATATTATCCATACCCGAAAGTCGTTGATGACATCAAATAGTGACCATTTTCCCAAAACTTAGTAGACCAACAAATGTGGGGTCGTACATATTCTGACTCACCACGAGGCTCAGTTCACAGGAACACCGAGTTGGTAAGTGACGTCTTCCAAAGTAATCATCGTTTCACCACTCGAGAAGTGGAACGTGTGCATCTCGGGCTGCCAACGCTCGACTAGAGCGCCAATCAACATCGGGTACAACTTGAAGTCACGCACAAATATGGCTGGAAATAGACCAGATTGTTGCAAATATATCACGGTCCACTGATGTTGCTCTCCGTATGTCACCTGCGCTTATAATATTCCATTCATCATCCGACCAGGGAACAATCGACGAAACATGGACGTTATCCAAACTTAACATATATTCTTGAGTTGTCATTTTTTGAGATTTTGACATAAGGTATGTTTTTTGTATTTTTTTGGATTTAGGGTTTGGTGAGAAACCAAAACCCCAAACCCCTATTTATAGCCTTATATCCGACGTCTATAAACAGCTAGTTGGGAAAAATATCAGGCCATGACCGTTGCCCTTATAGCCATTAACTAACGACTACTTTTTTGAATTTGAAGGAACTCGTCACCTCGACGTGACGAATTCTACTTATTTTTTTTAAAATTTATACTTTTTATTCTATTTTATTTTTTAATTTTTTAAAAAAATATTTTTTAAACAAACTCATTACGTCGAAGTAACGAGTTATTTTAATGATACTAAAATAATAGCACACATGGGGCCCATATAACTGGGACAATTTAAAAAAAAACATCTTCAAGAACTCTTCACCTCGAGATGATGAGTTCAGTGTTCACTGTAGAGAATATCGTAGTTTCCAAGATAAAGTCCATGTTGGCTTAATACATTAAATAATTAACCGCTTGGGGGTAATGGGCCAAAAAAAAACCTGGAATCATCTACTTTTACCAACAAGCCCAACGAACCTTGCATTGTTTGCTTCATTATTTTATTTGTTTTTACATTCATAAATGGTTTAAGTATAATATATATTCTAATTATTAACATAAAAATATGACGATTTAAATTATGTAAAAAAAAATAAAAATTTTGAGCATACATTAACAAATACAAATATAAATGAGGCTCGCCTCAAAATTCAAAAACCTTAAGTTATTAGTAAATATTAGAGGGGTAAATGCACAAAACATTTGATGAATTGTTTGTGAATCGTTTGTATGACATTCATTTCTTAAATAAATGAATATAAATAAAATTTTGATATCCATTTAATAAATAAACGAAAATGAACAAAAATATGTTAGTTTCTTTTATATTCACGAATAAACTCGTTTAAAACTTGTTTATTGGCTCGCTTATAAGCATGATTACTCGATTCTCCTTTTTCTTTTACTTTTTATATTTTAAATATTGGTAAATGTATGAAATAAATTATACATAATGTCACCTTTTAAGTTTAAAATGTTAAGCCAACGGAGTTTAAGGAATAGTGATATAATTTCACTGTCTACAAACAATTAAACATATAAACGAATATGCACCCAATCATTAAACGAATATATAATGAACATGTAAACGAATGAAATACAAACACATTCAAAATAAATCAAACCACCACAAATATAATCTTATTTATTTAAATTCCATTTATTTACACCTATAATAGATGTATGTGAACAATAATCAAGTAAAAATAAAATTTAGGGTAAACTATATTGGAGACCATCGAACTTTAGCTGATGTATTGTTTATATCATTCAACTTTCAATTTTGTCAAGTATAGCACTAAACTTTGATTTTCGTTTCAATTATACCACTGAATTATTAAATCATTAATGACGCGATGGCATGGTTGATGGTTGACGAATGTCAACGTATACACCTCACCAAAATGATGTCGTTTTGACCCGTTTGTTAACGATATAATGGGCCAATGATATAACTGAAACGAAAATCAAAATTCAGTGTTATAATTAACAAAATTAAAAATTTAGTGATATAAACAATACATCGCCTAAAATCCGATGGTATATGGTATAGTTTACCCTAAAATTTAAGAGGGAGTATATAAATAATAGTTTATTTTAGAGCCATGACTCCTATTATGTTACACGTTAACTTTATTCTTGTGTGTGGCTGTGTGATAACTGAAAATGATTGGAATTGTTTAAAAATCAAACTCAAAATTGTTAATAATTGTCAAAAGTTCCATATCAAATATTTTATTATTCAATTGTGACTCTCTTTGACAATAAAGTAAATTATTAAAACAAATAAGAAAGTTTGATCACAATGAAAAGAACAAGTGAGCATATTAATTATTTTAAGAGTAAATTCTAAATTTGGTAATTTAACTTTACTTCTCTCTTATTTCACTTATTGTATTTTAATGTTTTTTGAATTTCTCATTGAACTTAATACATTAGATTTTTTTTGTCACTCTATCATTTTCTCACGAATGGCGTTATAAATAAGTTTTTATATAGATACAAAATGATGTCTTTTTTGGTGAAAATCTTGTCTTTTTAAGACGGTGTCGTTTTAACAGCGTTAGCTATTTAGCAGCGGAGTAACAAAAAAATTCAATGTATTAAATTCAGTGAGAAATTTGAAAACTTTTAAAGTTCGTTGAACAAAATAAGAAAGAAAGTAAAGTTTGATGATAAAATTTATAATTTACTCTTATTTTAATATTGCAATTTGCAAAATTATTATAAAAAAAAGAGCACATTTGGTATATTCCACCGGTGGAGACTAGAGAATATTAAAATTAACAATCGAATATTTTCTTTATCTTTTAATATTATAAAATAATCATATAAATTGTACGACGGAATTGACCCCATGAAATTTGAATGATGAATATGAGCTAACATTTCTTATAAGATATAAATAACTGAAATTATCATCTGAATAAATAAATTAATTTATAAATTAATAACGATTTAAATTAAAAATTATTCAAGCTAAAAAATTAAAATTAATTTATAAATTAAAATTATTTAAACAACTGTGGCACCTAACCTGTCGTTTTCATTGCTCACAGCCTTACAAAATTAAAAGGTAGAAAAAGGATACACAGTAATGGACCCAATGGTTCGAATGGTAAAATGAAAATCCAGTAGTATTAGATTATGAATTCTCTTCACATCAAACCATATTTTTCCACTAGAAAAGAAAAATACTTAAACCCCATAATCAAGGAGCAGGTTTGACATGCAAGAGCGGCTACTCGAGAAAGGTTCGTTCTATTTAATTTCCCATGTCGGCTATCTGTTTTTTTCATTATAGTTCTTGTTGAATTTCGTATGGGTTTTGTCCAGCTCTTCATGTGTTTGAGTTTAAAGTTCGTTTTTTTGGCTGTTTGTTTCATTTTATAATCTTGGTTTTTTTAGTTTCAGAATTGATAAAGGGGGGAAGTTAAATTTCCCCTGTTTTTTTTTTTACTTGTTTTTAGGAGGTAGAATGGAAGAAGAGGCCACAACAGGGACAGAAGGTTCTAATTTTTCACTATTAGAATGGGTTTGCACGGTTAAAAATATGTGCTTGGAAGCATACAAAAGCAAGCCAATTTCACATTGGATTCTGTTGTTTCTAAGTAGTTTGGGGATGCTGGTGGCATTTCCTGCTTCTAGCCTTTTATCTCGTGTCTACTTTGCTAATGGTGGAACCAGTAAATGGATCATTTCATGGGTAGCAGTGGTTGGATGGCCGTTACCAGCTTTAATCTTGCTTCCCACATACATATTTTATAAAACCACTCCTACTCCTTTCAACTTGTATCTGTTTCTTTCCTATGTTTTTCTGGGTTTTCTGAGTGCTGCTGATAACCTCATGTATGCATATGCATATGCTTATCTCCCTGCATCAACAGCAGCTCTATTGGCCTCATCATCTCTAGCTTTCTCTGCTTTATTCGGTTTCTGGATTGTGAAGAACAAACTGAATGCTTCGGTGATAAATGCTATAGTGATCATAACAGCCGCGATGACGTTGATCGCGTTGGATTCAGATTCCGATAGGTATCCGTATGTGACCAACAGCCAATACACTTGGGGTTTTGTATGGGATATCTTAGGTTCGGCACTCCATGGGCTTATATTCGCGCTTTCGGAGTGGGTTTTCATAAAGTTCTTAGGCAGAAGGTCTTTCCACGTTGTTTTGGAGCAACAAGTCATGGTTTCATTCTTTGCATTTGTGTTTACAACCATTGGGGTCATAGTTAACGACGATTTTCGGGGAATGGCAGCCGAGGCCAAGACTTTCAAGGGCGGCCAAACTGCATACAATATGGTTATCATTTGGGGTGTTATTACTTTCCAACTGGGTGTACTGGGAGCCACTGCTATACTGTTTTTGGCTTCCACTGTGATGGCCGGGGTGCTTAATGCAGTGAGGGTGCCAATCACAGCTATTGCTGCAGTAATTTTCATGAATGACCCAATGAGTGGCTTCAAGATCCTTTCTTTGGTCATAACATTCTGGGGATTTGCCTCCTACATCTATGGCACTTCCACTGGGAGTAAGTTATCCTAGTCATATGTTCCTGTTGAGAATTATACTCATATCCGACATTTACAGTAAAAAGGAACCATCAAACCGATGCCCCATTTTGGACTCGAATGGTGTAAGAGAAGTTATGACATGCGTATTAGATTACTATGGTAAGGCTCATATTTGAACTCAAATGTGTGTATTAGATGTGGATACGTATTTAAAACAGGTGATATTCAGTTTTTTAGAAGTTTTTGCACGTATTTGAAGGATCTTTGGCGTTGAAGAGTTATAGTCTTGCATTCTTATCTGAATATGTCTCCACGTATATATATTGAATATTCTGAAAAAGCTGTTTTTTTCCACACATGAATGGATCGTAAAGTTCTTTGTCAATGTAAAAAGCTACAAGCCTAAAACAGTATATATATTCTGTTTCTAGGACCAATGCCTAATGACATTAAAATAGTTAAAAGATATAGCTATCAATCATCAACGAAACCAAAATGTAAGGTCAAGGACGGACCTTGATGACTGTATAGCCATTCTTGTGGATGGTACAAGCTTGCTGAGGGTATGTATTTGAAACTAAAGATTCCGCCTTTGCCTCTGATTGGAACTCGACCGACACCTCTCATGTGTTTCCTATTTGTCTCTCATTGTTCCACCACGAGAAAGACTTGCAGAGCTCACTTGATGGCTGCTTTATTCTCATTACTTAGGAGTATGAAAAGGAGGACACGTTTCCCCTAACCATGGTTAAGCAGAAGAGAGAATCAGCATGTCTGTGGATTGTCAGAATGTGGCAAACGTCCCATGAAAACTCTTTTCTAGAAAACTTTATGTAATCATATGGTCTACAGATGCTTTCTCAAAGGGTAGAAAGCTCAACCCTTCAATTTTTAATGGCTTATAATTCTGTGTTTCAAGAGCAAATCGAGGAACAACTATTGGGTTAATGTTGCTATAAATGAATTTTTTTGAGTAAGCCTTGCCAATGGAAGCCCAAGATGATACATTCGCAAACATTGCCAGTAGTTCAAGGGGCAGGCTAACTTTGAAAAAGCTCTGATTTTACCACTTGTTGAATTCTAGTGCAGTATTTTTCATGATTCAAGACAAACTAAGAGATACGTGGCACTTGAAAATGAAGCCAATAGGGACATTGAAATTTGTACCTTCATCTGACCTTAATAAATTATAGCCATGAAAGCCAGCATTCATTTGTCTTTAATCCCCTCTGCTCCTCCCTGGACCACTTCTTTAAATGCCAACACCATTGTAATTTGTATGGTTCATGGATTTGCCAAAGGTCACAGGGTAGCTGAAAATACCTACTTTTTATCATTTCAGAACTTCACATTCTTCTAAAAGGCGAATGACAGTCGATCAGGGGCAGATGCACTAAATCCATAGGGCAGACCCATTATTTTAGAAAAGTTGTTAAATTTAATTTAGTGTATTAAGGGGAAAAGGAAAAATAAGGAAATTGGCACACCCATTCTTTTTTAAATTATGAATATTAAAATTTTGAACCTCTATTTTTAAATTTTTGAATCCCCGCTTCAGTCAATGGTTGAAAATCTATCAGACTCTGATGGAATTGTCTGAAGATGTAGTTGCTTGCTTTCTAAGTGATGTTTTTAGAAGACAAGTTCTGGTAACAAGCAAAACCCTTTAAACACCATTGGTCTTATTGTCCGATGAACTTCTTTAACAATCATTTCACTCACCAAGTGATGCATAAAGTTTGGAATCAGAAACATCTATCCAGCATGTCTAAATGATCATGTACCAATGTCTTATGATGCTGGAAGTCCAAGTGGGCATGGAAATTCTAGCATGCAACCCGGATACAGTTTTTCCTACACCATCCCATGATGCTTCACAGAAAATTGATCTGTCCACTATAGGTGAATACTTGATGAAATTATAACAATGCAGCCTTTTCCGAACTATATTGTCTTCTCTTTTTCAAGCACATCATCATTGATTAAAAAAATCGAACCAGATTGATAGGTAGAACTGAGAACTAATAGATCATTTGACCCAATATATTATATATAAACACAAACATTGTTACGTTAATCGAGAAGATAACTACGGCTAAAATAAGCAAGATCGAAAAAAAACACGAGTAGAGAGAAATTCATTATAATGTCAAAATTATGAGGACTTTAGGGTAAACTGTATTGGATACCATCGAACTTTAGCAAGACTTTCACCGAACCGTTTAACAAGGTTATCATTACCATCACTTTCATGTGGTTCAGATGGGCTTGCTTCTTATGTTCTTTGAGCTGGTACTGATGAGGTCGGAATACCAGTTGTATTTTTTTGTTTTGACATACATCTCCACCATATTATTATTTGATGATTGATGAAGTCTAATCATAACAGCAACATAGTTATCATCATCAAATTAGACTTTTCCATATGTCATTCGATTTGAGGAGATCAGGTGTTGATAACTTAAATATGAAACATAAGCCTCAAGTTTTCTCTCAATTTTTTGTTTCATATGGCGATGAGATACATCTATAGGGAACATCATATTGATGGGCATGTGTGACTTAAACACAACACTAATATCAATTTGTAGAATTTCGCCATTATAATAGACAACTGTGAAGAATTTGGTGCTTATTGTTTGAAATGTATTTGGTTAGAAGAAAAAAGTTTGTTGTGTAAGAGATTGAAGATGAAAGGAGTGTGTTGTGTGTGTAAGAGATGAAAGGAGTGTGCTATGTATGTTAAATTTTTAGCCGTTGGAACTCGTCACACCAACGTGACGAGTTTCATTGATTTTTTTTTTTAAATTTACCCGTTCAACAACGGTTAATCCAACGATCAATAAATTCAAAATTATACATGTTGGAACTCGTCACACCAACACGACGAGTTCTTTTAACAATAAAATAATATTTTTACAATAGTTTTAAATTTTTCAAAAAAAAGATTTTTATTGATGTAATGAGTCTCTTAGAATATATTAAATAAATTCGGACTGTGAAACTTATATGACACAACCCATTAAAAATATATATCCCATGGAACTTGTTACGCCGACATGACGAATTTTATAGACACTATAGCATTTGTCATAAATTCTAAAATAATTTTTTATTACCATATTAAACTAAATAATCCAACCGCTTAGATTATTTGCCAAACTCCGCCTATATGTTTCCTCAAAAAATCTTCATTTTTTCATATATATATATATATATATATATATATATAAAAGGTGTCTTTATGAATTGTCATACTTATTAAGAACCCTAAACAATCTGTCCAAATCTTTAAGAAAGATTAATTGAATCCACCGAATTGTGATTTCTCGTAATCATTCCTATGATATGGGTTCCATCGTTGGGTTGATTTTGACAGCTTAGTTACCTAGTAATATAGAAAATAAGTGTACCTAAAATATTAAATTTTTTATATTTTTTATTAAACACTTCCTTCATAATATTTTCAATTGGCAAAAAAAATGTTATATTTTTATAAAATTTTCGGTTGCGACAATTACTGATGTCACATATTATTTAATATTTTTGTATCTACCATCTACACATCACTCAATACTGGTAAAATTTTTAAATTCATATTCGCCTATGCGAATTCATTATTAAATCAATCCTTACACCTATTAACTAACTGGATACCCACCACTAATCTTGTATACGTTTGTACTCGTCCATACCCACCGAATTAGGATAGGAGAAAAGAGTGACTTTAATTTTAAAAATGTTTATGCCATAATATTTGGTTGCATTACATGTCATGTCCTAAAATATCTTAATATTTGCAAAATAGTCTTTGGAATTATACCTAAATTGTAACACCCTCAACCCGTACCCGACCCGGATACGAGTCCGAGGTGTCACATTGACTTTTCAAACTTTGATTCTTGACGAAAAATCAAGGAAATTTAAAACTTTCATTAAAATAACATTGTTACTTTACACAAGTTAACCAAAACAAGACAAAACTGATCAGAGCATTTGTAACAGACACTTTTCTTACATGCCAACACTATACACAACAAAAGACATACTTTATCCGTTACTTTTGATCTGATCTTCTAGCCACCCTATTTCCGCTCTTCCTGATTCTTGGTACTTACGTGTAAATCACTTACACGCTAAGTCATAGACTTAGTGAGACATATAAATATAATAATAATGCATTCCGTATGAATATGAACATGCAATCTATCCATTCAATCCTGTCGTATACAATTCAATGTAAACAATAATAATATGGTAACATATAACTATAACAATGCAATTACCTTTGATAACCTTTTATAGGCCCATGTACATTTTTGAGAACTCAAGGTATTCGAGTACATTGAGGTTGTGCACTATTACTAACCCTCGACTCTTGGCATGCCAACTATACCTATAGCTCTCATATCGTATACCATGGGCATTATTCTTATGTTTCATATATTCATGTATTCATGTCATTTTTCTTGTGATAACATAACTCATATCACTTACCATGTCACATGTGTATTTGAATCTATTTACATATATCATTTATCAAATCATATGAACATATATACTTTATGCATGTATCATAATAATTATCATGTATGTATGTTCATAACTATTGTGCTATGAAAATCAACATAGGAATTAGACTTATCACAAGTCTTATTCCATTGTACCATACTTCTAATATGTACTCACCTTAGCCTTGCTTTGACTCGATTCTAATCCTTCAATTGTTCCGGAACGAGATTACGTTCTAAATCTACATGGTAATACATTGATACATATCAGTATACTAATTGATATATTCTAAACTATCATTCCTTAGGCTAAAAAGAAAGTTATTTTTATCTTTTAATGAAGGTATGCATCGATGCACTATACCATGTATCGATGCATCCCTTGACGGGTGCATCGATGCACTATCTATGCATCGGTGCATAAATCTCATTCGATGTTTGTATTTTAAACAGGTGCATCAATGCACTCCTTATGCATCGATGCAATAATTGCATTCGATGTTCATTATTTGAGAGTTCATCGATACACATTGAATGTGCATCGACACACACATCTCATAAATTGTATTTTAAGCCCGAAAATCATCAATTCTTCACTCAATTCTTCTCTTTTAAACCCCTATCATATCATTAAACCTAATCATCATTACTTAAACTAACTTATATCCATGAAAATCATCTTTAACCTTAAAATCATATCCCTCATATGTAATTCAAGAATCATACTCAAATTTCAATATGTTCTAAATA